CCCCACCAGACTGAGCTCTGAGCTCCTAAGGGCAGGAACTTTATTTCATTAATCCTGTGTCTGTAGCACAAAATGAAGGTAATACATATGGTTCAATTTTTGTTAACATTTTTACCTTGTATTGTGAAACTTCAGACATACCAAAGAGTAAAGTAGTGAACAGTCATGCACCCACCCCCCAGGATGTAACAGCTTAATGTTTTGCTGCATTTACTTTATCTTTTGCACATTAGTATTTTAAAGTAAATGTATGGTATAAGATGTCATCATACAGTCTCTGTAGTTCCATAGTAAAAACTAAAGACAGTTTCCTACATTACCATAATAATAGTAGCTGTCATACCTTAAAAAAATGGACAGTGCCCAAATACTAATTCTATATTCAGCTTTCTCCATTTTCTGTACGATGGCTTTTACATCCTTTTGTTTAGTCATGGTCTACCCATTGCACAAGGGCAAGCCTCTTAAGGCTATTTTAATTATTCTAGATTAGCCCTTCATTTTCCCTCCCTCCCACCCTCATTATTCAGTGAATAAAGTGCTGGCTAGTATTTATCGCCACTGATGTGGGATAACAGTCCACTATCTGTGACATTACTGAAGAACAGTTGGAAAGATGTGCCTTTTTGTCCAGAATAATCTGCTCTCCTCGTGTGATCCCAAACTTATGATTTGCAGCCAGTAAGTCATTCCAGCACATAGCTGGTATGCACAAGAAACCATTATCACAACAGCATTACTTCAATTAATAGCTACTCCATTTTGTCTTCCAGAAAGTCACTGACAGAGCTATAGTACATTTTCAGTGACTTTCTGGGTTCTTACAGGCTTGGGTCTTCAGGATTTAGTAATTTCCTTTCACCTCGTCCATTTATTTTATTTTATGCTAACTATTCTCTTACCCTTTTAATACTCCCAAAGCTTGATATAGTTTGTAGAACAATAAAATGACATTTTAAACTCTCTAACTTGCTTAGACTCTTAATAGTTAACACAAATTTGCGTTTGGGAGCTTAAAGCCCACAATTTGGAAAATTACCCTTTCAACCTTTTCAGTTTGCAAATATTTGCTTAGCCTTACTTACATTTAAGAGAAGGGATTAAAAAGAGGATTTCTGAACAGTTTCTCCACATAGTCCTGACTGCATTAAGTGGCTTTCTGAGTTTAGAGCTTGATAGTATATAAAATACAGTTCCTCCCCAGGCATCTCTAATTGCTTTGTAGTTTTTGAGATTGGATTATTAGTACTTCTAGTGATCACATATACCAAGCATTACAGTGTTTGCTGAATAAAATTTAACTGTAGGTTGAGCTGCTTGCAGTGAGTAGAATGATTGGGGCTTGGGTAATGGGTCTGGTGGAGAAGGGGAGATTTTACTTTGTGAGTCCATAGAAGGTGGTACAGAAAGTACACTATGAGGCATTTTAGGAACTGTGGCACAGGAAAGAAAACTGAACTTCCAGCAGTGGGGTCTTAACTCAGGCTGCCATAACAAAATACCATAGATTTAATGGCTTAAACAGCAGTCATTTAATTATCTCCTTCTGGAGACTAGAAAGGCGAACATCAAGTTGCCTGTCGATTTAGTATCTGGCGAGGGCCTGCTTCCTAGTTTGCAGACAGCTTCCTTGTTGTGCTCTTGGAGAATGAAATCTCTGGCGTTCTTATGGGAGTAGTAATCCCATCACAAGTGGTACTACCCACCATTACCTCATCTTAACCCAATGTCCTTTTGAAGACCCCTCCTCCAAATGCTGTCATTGGGTGTCAGGGTTTAAGCATACAAATTTTGGGACATTTAATTCTTAACACACAAGCAGGTGCATTTGAAATTGACCTAGTATATACTTTTATACGGAATCATTATTTGTTAGCATTGTCTTTATATCTTCCAGAGCCAGCCTTGGGTGGGGAGTTCAGCCTGTGTAGAAAATAGTGAGCACTATGTTGATTTGGTCACAGTGTTTAAGGCCGTCTTAAGGAGACAGTCCTGTAACCAGTGGATTTGGGTTGCTTACAAGTGAATTGATGTCATGCTGATGTTAAGAAAATGAGACACCATTTACAATTGGAAGAGAAAAGTTTCTGTTTGTAAGAGTCGTAGTGAATTATAGGCAAGAAAGGGAAAGTTGATTTTTGAAATCACCGATTCCCCCCTCTACTGGACAGTAATCCTATCCTGAACAGCATTTAATGTGAAGTCACTATGGCCAAAGAATTAATCTTATTAGGTGATAAGAGCACAAGGTATATTCTTCACGTCTCCTTGTCTGCCTTTTCCACCTTACTCCTTTGCTTTTCTTCCTCTCCCAGCCCTGCCCCCAGTGCCGCAGCCTCTTCATCCTCCTCTGACATTTCAAATGTCTTTGGCTCTGCTAAGCCCTATGGATAGAAACTTCGCTGAGGAGGATATTGATTACCAAATATGGTACTGCTGCTAAAGATGTTAGAGGAATGTGGCTCGTATTCTAAGCCTCCGGCCTCAGAATAAGCTGCCAAACAAATTAGGTCATTTTAACTTATGAGCTTTTGCCTTTTTTTTTTAATAAGGAGCTGGAACTTTGATTTGGAACATGATGGTGGTGGTATTTTAGCTCAAATAGAAGATGGGGCAGGACGTGGGGGAGTCCCAGTTCAACACTTATTTAGGATATGAGCCACCCCCAGCCCAGCCCCAGCTGTGAAAGAGTGGAGCTGACTCTGCAACACCATGCACAGGCTGAGGCCTGGAGACAGAGGTGCAGCCTCCCTGTGCTCACTGTGAAAGACTCATACTGCAGTCCTGGGGTGCTCTTCCAGGGTACCCGTGTCGTGGGCCACAGTGCTTATGCCAGTATGGGGTCAAATTTAGGAAAGTGACTTCTTCACAGGATGGTGGGTCAAGTTTGGGAGAGAAGAGACACTTCCTCTAAACTTGATGTCAAGTTGTTACTAGGTGGGATGTGGCGTAAAGATGCAAATCCTTCCATGACATACCTTAAATGATAGCCAAATGGCACTGGTCTCCAGCAAAGACCACAACTTTTCAGGTCCATATTTGGAAATATTTATTCTGTTGTGATACTAGCTTTGATAGGGTGAAATGCTCTTAAGTGGAAGCGGATGGAAGCTTTGTTCTCTTTCCTTCTATATATTTTTTGGCAAGATAATGCTGAGGTTTCCCTAATTAAAACAAAACAAAAACTGAGACCAGTTAAACGCAAAATTTCTTGTAGATTTCATTTTACTGGCATCCTTTCCATATTATGCTTTTAGTTAGGGCTTATATAAATGGATTCCTTTTCTTCCTGCCCACCCTACCCATTTGCCACCTTCAATTGGTTTCTTCTCAGAGAATGGGTAAGTCACACGCAGAGAAATTTCCACCCACTTCAGGGCATCTGTGGGTCAGGGCTCTGTTGCTTTTGTTGTACCTCTGTCAGGCCTGCTCTTTCCTTCCTCTCCCTTCCCTCCCCCCCAATTTCTCTTATCGTCGTTACTCTCCAATCACATCCTCTTCCTCTCCTGTCTTTGGAGCCGAGCCTATGAACTTCAGAGCTGCTCATCCTGGTCAACAGATTCAAAGTCTCAATAATGTCTCGTAGAAATTGCTCTTAATTTCCTTACTAAAGAGGAAAGGGGTTTGTGGGGCCCACGTGTGTAATGAATGGAAAACCTGTGCTCTTAGCAGACTTTTTCTGAACTCTAATCCCTTTCTAGAAGATATTATTCAGACAGAAATGGGACTTGAGATTGCTTGGATGGACATCATGCACAATACTGGGGTATCTCTGGCACTATTGTCAAGATCCAGAATCCATGGCTTTGGACATAGATGAATGTGAAATTATTCATCATGCTTTATAACAGAGACATTCTTGAATGGGAGAGTGGTTTTCAGAAGATATATCATGCCAGAAATGTTATATCTTAGTGTGTAATTTATTTTATTGAACATTTTGTTTTAGGTAAACCAATCAAGGGTAATTGAAATTACTATCTTCGTGACCTATATAATCTGATATCTCTATCCATGTAGCAAATGAGCAAGATCAAATAAAAATCAGACTGTACCACAGTGAGACATTGAGAATTCATGTAAATTTGTTAACTAGCTGCGAGTAAATGGTATTAGGTTAGATTTAAAAATCCTAAAACTATTCCTATCTTCTTAGGAACTCAGAGTGCATGTATCCATGTTTGAAAGTGCTCCAGTGATAAAGGGATGGGAGTTCCCCCCTCTGTAGGAGATGAAGCCAAGCCATTGAAAATTACATTGTTTTAAGTCAGTGTCAGAACACTGGTCAAGGTCTAGGCCTCTTAGAATTTCAGGTGTTAGACTTTTCCATATTATGGAGGGCTTTACATTAATTCATTCATTCTTAGTGGCCACCATTAGCTGAAGTTTCTAAGCCATGCTAGAAATTTGCTAGTCCTTATTTCGATCTTGGACTTGAACGCTTTTGTGCAAGAAGAAAAGGATTAATTGGAAAACCATGTAACTCTTTTATTCCCAAATTCTATCAATTTTTCCATTTGTGTAACTAATATGGGGAGTCCAACTATACTCCCCCAGATGTACACAAGCTTCACTCACCCTCTGCCAGAACTCCAGTATCAATGCCCTGTCACCTTCCCTCCCCTCACCTCTACTTCCCGCACCATGTCCCCTCTGGTAGCCAGTATATTTTCGGTCTAAGAGTTATTTTTGTGTTCTGCCAGTTTGTTTTCCTTGACTGTTTATATTCCTTACATGAGTGAAACCATCCGGTAACTGTCTTTCACTTTCTGACAAACTCATGTAACTATGTTTTTCAATTACATAAACTAAATCTCCCTGGCTTTCTGGAAATGGTGTATTATGCGTCTCCATGTATTCTGTTTAAGTGGTGAGAATGAGAGCGTTTGCTGACCTTTTTTTCTGACAGGCCAGGGTTTAATGGTGTGTTTATTTTGTCACCATTCTGGTTTGACTCTAAGGAAATGAAAACATCTTCCATTTGTTCTTTATTTCCAAAGGGCATCCGCTTCGATCCTGAAATTCCGCAAACACTACGACTAGAGTTTGCTAAGGCAAACACGAAGATGGCCAAGAACAAACTAGTAGGGACTCCAAACCCCAGTACTCCTCTGCCCAACACTGTACCTCAGTTCATTGCCAGAGAGCCATGTAAGTTGATCTACTTTTCATTTTCTAGGGGAAAAAAATGAATTAAGAACTTGTATGCTGCATGTTAGTTTATACCACGGACATAGAGCTGGCTGAGCATCATTTCCCATTTCTGTGAAGAGGCTGACTTTTCTTACTGAATTCCAAATACAGCAATCTTGTTTGTGATTCACTGTCTTGAATGATGATTTGGCTTCATCAGAACCAGAAGTACAAAGTTTCACTTGATGTGCTATATAGATTTCCTTAATGTGATGTTGACCTTTATTGTTGACCCTATATGCTTTGTGGCAGAAACCCTTTTTTAGTCCCCTAGTTTTGGACAGGAGACTTGGTTCTCAGGACTCCCTTAACTTCATTTGCTAAAAACCATCAGTCCTGTGACTTTGGAAAAAGAATATTAAAAGTAAAAGAAGCAGATCTTAAGAAGTTGTTTCTGTTTTTGAGAACAGTTTAACTATAAATCTAAAGGGAAAAATAAATATATACAAAGAATTTATATAGTTGAACAGTCATCTAACTGGAACCAGTAAAGCTTTAAGGAAAATTGGGGGTTCCTATTTTAAATTAATTGCTAAGCAGGTTTTTTACCCCCACCTAATAAGCTTATTGTTTTAAATGTCCAGGCTACAATTTCTGCCTTTATTAGACTACTTGAAAAAGATGTCTCAATTCTGTTTCTCATGCTCAACTAGCAGTGTAAGTGAAGCATGAGTTAGGCCTTTGCATTTCCTGTCAGTGCATAAGCCATGTGTGATTTAACCTGGCAGGGTATTGAAGGAATCCCAAGTGACTTGCTGTTCAATGGAATATTTTTGTCCTGTCCTCCTTGTTCTTCTTTCCAAATCACATGATCTTGATCTTCTTCCTGCTTTCCCTGTAACTGAAACCCAAGGGTACACAGGCCCCTTTCTCCACTTATGTCATGTGTGTGTCAGATTTAATCAGGGCATTGTGGAAGTTAGTCACTCTGTAGCTCAGTTGCTGTTAGGAAAGCAGCTGCTTGACAGTAAACTTATAGATAAGAGTTTCTCCCCTGGTGTGTTCTAAAGTAAATTTTTCTATGAAACTAGAAATCATAATGGGAAGAAAATATTTTCTTCTTCCATGTCTTAGGCAAACTTGAAATATTTGTTTATTTGGGAAAGAAATCTAAACAAAAGTTTCATCTTATGGTGCAGTTGTACTGCAGGAGGATGTATCCTTACTGTATCTAGCTCAGGGCCTTGTATGTAACATATTTAATAAATGCTATAGTAATCATGCATGGGTAAAATAACATTTTTGTGTGGCTATTTGTGGAGTTCTAACATTTGTTTGCCCTTAATTTTTCTCTGTAATTTCTTTTCTCTTGTTTAGGGCATCAGAAAAGAGTATTTCTCAGATACTTTTGATTTAGAAAAGAACATCTAGACTAACTTCACTTTTTTAGTGAATTTGCCTGCCTCATATTTCAAATACTTTGAAAATTCGGACAGGGGAAGTATAATGTTGGCAATACTTTATCCTTTTAGTTCTTTACTGGAGCTCAAAAGATTTTATAACTCTGCTGCAACGGCTCTGAAATAGGTAGCCAGGATGCGGGAGCCAGTTCACAACAGGTTACACAAAGATAGATTAAGTGGACATGCGCAAGTCCTTGCAGTTAGGGAGAGCCTGGGGCTCTGCTTAGGCCAGCTCCGCCCACTGCCCTTTCCTGTGCTCGGAACAGCTCAGAAGAGGTCAGATAGTTTCCATGGTAGAGTCAAAACTTGCCTGGCTGCTCATAGCAAAACAAACTTGAAGTTAAAAAAAAAAATCCAAACAGCAATGTATTCTTGAGAAAATAAAAGTTTGCATAGTTCTCTTAATATAGCTCTTTTTTTAATGACGCAGGGGCCTTGACAAGCAACAATTCCATTGTGACTTAGAACAACCTTATCATCCATTATGGTTCCCTCTGGAAATTGTGAACTTGTCTGTCTCACAGACTCTCCAGGAAGCACAGTGCAGATCAGCAACCTGGTGGTTCTGTACTGGTGGGCACTTGAGGTGATCAGTTTAACCACCATGCAGAATAGACTGCAGTGAAATCACAGGATTCGTAGATTGGAATAGTCCTGCCAGTTTCTCTGTGGTGGGCCATGGAGCAGGGGTGGGGTGGATGTTGTTAATAAATGCTTCTCTTTGCCAAATTTTTATTTGGTGGGGCCTGAGAAGTACCCATTGCCATCACTAGAGGAAGAATGTACCATGAGTCAGTCATACAACAGATGTTTTCTTGAACGCTCTCAAATACCTGTTGAACTTAAATGAGCAGCCCCTCTGGAGGGACAGGCCTGCAACTGCTCCCTTTAAAGAGTTGTCAGTCCACGGAATCGATGACGGGCAGAGTTTTCCGGAAATTTGGCCCCATGTAAAGAATGTAAAAGATGTTCCCAACCCTACTTCCAACTGCTTTATATGCTGAGCACCCTGCTCCATGCCAAGAATGAGGAGTAAGGAGAGAGAGCACTGTGGCATCTAGCCAGGGTAGAAGTTGGCCTCCATGGGGAATCTTGACCAAAGACTTGAAGATGTCAGTGTTCCACTTCTTCTAGTTACTGTTAAGCTTTGTGACCTCAAAAATATTTAACCTTGCTGCACTCCTGTTCCCTGAGCCACAAGAGAGGGATAATACCTTATTCACATAATTGTTTTGAGAGCTACATGGCATTATTGGATTGTGTTGAGAATTGAACAAGTGTAATATGTAGAGTACTAGGCAAATGTGAAGTGCGAGCTTCAGTTTTAAAAACAAAACAAAAACCAGTTGCTTCATAGTTAAAAGTAAGTGTTGAGCTTCTCATCTGGCATCCACTGTGTGATTGTGGGGGCTTGTCTTTGCAAATTAGAAAGAAGGAATGAAAGTCACATACAATCCTAGGAAATAGTATACTTCCCTAACTTTTTAATTAATTTGAGCTGCTCTTTTTCCATGTATCAAATAAAGTAAGGAAAATACTGTGAGAAAACAGGAAGTAAGGGATGTAGACAATTTAAAATCCTCTTAGCTGATGTATTTGTACAGGAAAGTAGTGTTCTATAACATATGAATTCCACATTAGAGATGAAAACAGCACATCGCTATCTCCGAAGTTTATTTTCCCATCTGTAAAATGATACTATGCTTCAAATCCTCTGCTAAGCATCTTAAGTGACTTGCCTCATTGAATTTTTGAAGAAACTGAGGTTCTGCCTGGAAGGTCTAGTAACTAACTTCATTGAAGTTTTCACTCTCACTAAAATCCATTGTTGGCCTCACCGCGTCACATTGCCTGGTAGTCCACAGGCGCTTTGGGCTGTAGCCGTTTTCAGGGATTCCCTAGGTGCCGCTTTAAACTCATTCATGACCCCAGAGACCATTATCAGGTGAGAAGGCCAAGATTTTAGTACAGGTCACTGCATAGTGAAAATTAATCTCTCTAAGGTATTAGCCAGGAAGTGTATTTCTTCATAATTGACCACAATAAATTGATACAGTTTTATTGTACTTCATCCTGAGTCATTATTTAAAAAAAGAAAGACCGCTTTCAACAGTTTTTAAGTACTTTAGTTCAATAGAAAGTGGCTTCATCAGCCAAGATGAGAATATTTATCTTCTTTTCCTTGTACCTGCAGCATAGACAAACAGCTCTCTTAGGTGGTGTAACAGGTCATTCATATGGAAACAGGCATGGGTGGAAAGGCACAATCACGCAGCCTGCTTTTTATCAATGATAATGTGAAAATAGCATAGTCACCAGTTCATGGTTGAGTAGATGGCATGTTCTGTAGGAGGCTCCTTTTCTACTGCAAAGTCCTTAAACCTGAGCAAACACGCAGAGATTGAAACACAAGAGATTGAAAAGATCAACAAGAAATCCTTATATGATGGATGGAATTGAGCGAACTGGCCCAATTTTTTTGAAAGTAAAATAACACAGAAATGCAAGGGATCATTTAATGGGTTGTAGTCTGTTTGTTGTTGGTTTCTATTTGGTGTAAGAGGTTTTAATCCATTTCAAGGAACATCTCTGGAGACAGTTATGATGATGTGATCACAGTCTGGCCCAGTTGTATTTGAGAAACAGGTCTTCTTGAATCCTGTCTGCTGTTAAATTTATAAAATTGTATTTTAACTTCATCTTGTTTGTAAAATAACAGCACCTGATCCATTTTATTATTACATGAAGAGAGAGATCATAATGAAATTCAGAGGGTTAAAATTATAGGTTTTCCTATTACCTGAAAATAATCACTGTTAACACTCTGTTATTCCTTTCTACATGCATTTCTGTACATTTATATATATGTGTATATAGAGAATAGTGATTGTGAGAGCTTCTGATTATTTAGAACTTTTGGAAGGAAGTCATATATATGTGGTTAAATGAATTTTTCAGCTTTGCGTCTGTAGGCCGTATCCAATTGTATGTATAAAATCTCATCATTGTCATGATGAATGCCCCTGGGGATAACCCTGAAGTGTGGTGGGTTCTGAGAATCACTAGGGTCAAGTCAATAAGTAGAATATTCTGGATGGATTCTAATACTTTGAGATCCCTCTGGAGATCATATCTTCAATGATGCAACCTTCATGAATTTTAATTTTTCCAATCCATTTTCCCTCCTGGCTCACTTTTCTGGTTACAGGAGCCCCGTTATAAAAATAAATGATTCTCAACTGCCGCCACCATATACCCAGAGCTTTATTTATTTATTTATTTATAAATATTTATTTATTCATTTATACAAGCACTGGGTACAGTCAGAAGCGCAGGAGGGTGAGAGAATTCACCAGAGCCAGAGCGGGGAGCAGAGCAGGCAGAAGGACCGAAGTACACTGCTGAGGGGAGCAGCGGGTGGCAGGAGAGGTCTGCACGCCATGCGGGACCCGCCTCCAGTGGCCGGGGAGCAGCCGGGGATCGAACCAGCGCCGCAGAGGCTTCAGGCAGCTTCACAACTCAACGCTCAACCACTGCGCCACTGGGGAGGCCCCA